TCGGCTGGGATAGGCTCCGCCCCCCCGCGACCCTCATGAGGATTAAGCGGTGTGTAGATAATGGATGGATGGATGGATGGATGATTTTGTGTGTTGTTGCATCATTTTTATCTGACCTGAAACCAACCAAGTGAAAATAAAGAATGATTTTTGGGACTGACTTTGGGATGAAGCAGATGTTGTTCCTTCAGTAGATCAGTGAGCACATGAAGGCGTTGGACATCTAAACCAGGGTCCTGCTGGACATGTTAGGGTTAGGGCCCATCCTGACTGAACCATCTCACACACTCCCAGGATGCACTGCAGGTCTCAAAACCGAACCTTCTGCAGGAGTTTTGGTGAGAAGTCACATTTAGTACGTGTGACGTTTGCAGCTGTGGTTGTCATGACAACGTCTATTTATACTGAACGGATGTCTGATGACTTTTGTTTTGAAAAGCCTGTTTTACCTGCTAGTGGACCAACGTGTGTGTCCAACATTCGTTTGTTTTTACAAAACATGAATATTACCATGAAAAACCAAGTCGTCCTTTATAGAGTTCATGGTGTTAATCCATCGTACTCGTGTTCACTTTTCTGTATCAGTGAGACGTGATCTGAGCATCTTGGACAGGTTACAGTCACTAACCAGGTGAATGGATGGAGTCTGGAGCTCTTATTGTGGAGGTTTTTGTTTTTCTGTGTGTTTTCTGCTTTTGTGAAGCTCTTTGTTGCTGAAACCTGTTTTGTGCTTTAAGGTGCAGAAATTAAACTTGAATGTGGAAAATCTAATCACAGTAAGAGTTTTGGAAACTGATGAGCCTCTGATCCGTTTGGGTCGAGCAGCTCCTGCTTAAAGGCTGACGTGGTCTGTTTGATGGTTTTATGATCGTTCTCATTGGATGTATTGTGAATGTTTCATGTTTATGTATGTTTTAGGTTTCAGTCTGAAAAAGCCATCCTCATGAAGCGATCACTGAGTTGTTTGGCAGCGACTTGTACTAAAAGAAAAGAAAGGAAAGTGTTTGTAAGGTGGATATTCATGTCGATGTGGTGCTCACCTGCAGCTCTTGTGTCTGCTCGCAGGTTTGCTGTTCAGTTTGGTTCCGTCTCCTCTGACGGTCGTCTGCCAGAACGCTGCGCTGAAGGTTTGTGGGTGGAGGCAGGACTCGGCTTAAATCGAAATAACACCTCCAAATAGCTCAATAAGTGCTCCTCCTCCCTCTCATCTCCATTAAGAGGTTAGAACAGTCGATAGGTCCGGCCGAACACTGGGGACTGACCCTATTGATTTCAGCGGGAGGGAAGGAGGGCAGCCATTAGCTGTGCACTTCCTCTGGCCTTGGTGGAGCTGCTGAACTCACTCTGCTAGAAAACCCATTGTATGATTCTACCAGCAGAGCTTTCAAAAAAGAAAGCTGAATTCTGTTTTATTTTGTTTGCGTTTTAGTGGCTTGATGAAGAATATTCTGCAGACAGTTCGGTCTTCTAGTGACTGGTTCAGGGTTTGGAGCTCATCCTGACTTCATCAAACAGAAAAACACGAAATGAGAAACAAGCATTCATAAAACACACAAAGAGGGAAAATTAAGCAAACCTCACTGAAGTACAAAAAGGCTCCCAGCTCATCTACACTGGGCTTTTATTCCGTTTGCATTAGTAAAATTTAGCGCTGGTGTCAGAAACTCCAAACATTTCGAGTCCTTTCTGCCACCAGCGAGGCGTCCTCACACCTGGATCACATCAGCAGGAAACCAAACGCTCAAAGTTGTTCCTCACAGATGATCTCCAGCAGAACGTTGAATGAAGCTCTGTGGGTCTGACTTGGCCGCTGTTTGGTAGGTCCAGTTTCTGAGGTTAAACTTAAATCAGCGCCCACAAGAAGCCCTAAATCCCGTTAAGCTGGTGTCTAACACCGACCAGACGCAGGTTTTCTTGTTGTCCATTTGGCAAAATATAGAAAGTTTAAAGTTCCAAGAATCCCCCCTCAGCAGATTTAACACGTTGGTGCTACTTCACTATATTACTGAAGCTTCTTTTGACCGCTGATAAAAACTGTGTCGTTCTCTATAACTCCACTTTTACGTGAACATTTCGTGGAGCATTTAAAGACCTAAGATCAGATATTTGCCTTAGGAGTGGGTAGAGATCAGAAATGAAACTAAAAGTAAATATATCCAGACATCAGGTGAGCAGAAACA